AATATTTAAAATATTTTATCCACAACTTCAACTACAAATGATATTTAAATCACCTTTCAAAATACAAAATATATCCTGATCTAAAGACCTATTACCTACCCCTATGCGTTCAAGGATCGTATATAAATACACTTGTGATGGCTGTAATGCGACTTATAATGGCAAAAATATATGCCAATTACATCTGTTAGCCTGCGAACATATAGGAGTATCAAGCAGAACTTGTAAAAACTATCAAAGCCACCAGACTCCACAATTCACACACATAGTGAAAACACTAACCACCTCATCTTGATTACGAATTTCAAAGTCATCTTATCTGGATCATCCAATATTGAACTTTTAATTAAAGAAAGTTTATTGATTACAAATGAACTCCTAATTCTAAATAATAACACAACTTCACTACAATTAAGTCAGTTCTGAATACTTGTATAATATTGTTTTGTTATCCTAATCATTGTTTATTTGTTTGTCTTTTAATTTACTTCATCCTTCTATTCTGTATTTTAATTACTTTTATAAAATGTTTAAATTTATAAATTTTTGTACCTAATAATTTAACCTATTCATCAAAGCTTGCTGAAGATGTAATATGTACATTCTGAAATCGTTCAAGAATTAAATGTTTGTTACTGTACACACACAACATGTCAAATATTTGTTGTTCAAATGAACTAGTTTCACAGATTTTATATGAATTTAGTCCCTGACTGTTCGTTTCTTCCTAATACTTTGGTGGCTCAGGAGGGAGATTGTACCTTTTCTCCCATATCTCTTCCATTCGTCTTGGGCCTCTATGATTTTACTAACCCTAACTGCTTTTTGGTTCCAGTTTGAGCAGTCAGATGTTACTTGGCATGCACAATCAATTTCATGGTTCCAGCAATCTATTTTTCTTGGGACCCTTCCTTTTTCAAGGATCTCTCATCCTCTGTGCTTATCAGATGGGTTCATTAGCTCATCTGGGTTGTCTGTTCCTCCCTGGATGGAGATGGTCACAGGCTGTATCACGTATCATCATGCCATATCCACTATTTGACTCACTTCCTGGCCTTCAATGACTCTTGGACAATATCTTCCAAGCTTGAATATGTACCAGGTAGAACACTTCTGTCATCATTCTCCAGTCTGTTCAATGTCTTTAACAGGTAAATGCCTCTTTTTTTCCTTATTTGTTTATGCTGTTCCCCATTTACTTCTTGGAACCTACCCAGTGGCTGGTGTTGCCTCACAGGGTATATCTAATTCTCTAAACCCATACGGAGTCAGGAGTAACAGAAAGTGTTAAGCTCATCTGCCTGGTTCCTAATGTGCCCACAATTCAGATGTGATTTTCTACAATTTATTATGCTTTTCTTAAATTTTATTTCTCGTACTTTATGTGAGCCAACCTAGTTTTTTTACTTAAGGCATCCTTTCTGTATATCTTCTCTTATGGCTTACTGATAGACATTGCTGGGCTCCAGAAGTCACACCAGGCCTATCTGACTGTCTTGGCTGAGGCAATCTACCAGATATTATAAACTTAATGTTACTTACTTTAATGGTAACAGGAGATTTACCCAGAGAGACTAGCACTACCAACATGACTGGTCACTCTCATTCAAACTTTATGGAGGTTGTAACCTTGAGGCATCGTGCGACCTACCATGGAAGAATACTGCTATTGACATTCTTGCACAACATACAGCATTACTGCCACGTCACCTATAAACAGATTAAGTGTTACTTCAAGAGAATGGAAAAGAATTAAAAAAGCTAGAACAAAACCAACTTAATGACTCTTGACCACATGTTATATGAAAGCTGAACATATACCAAAATAACTGAAACTTTTTGAACAGTCTATATAAATAATGCTCTTGCATTTGTCTGTCTGGAACTTTCTCAATCAAATGCTAAGAAACTCATATTGTTTGTCTGGATAGTCTGGGTTGCATATTAGCCTTTCAATACAGAATCACCTTACCAGTTTTTTGCGTAGTCAAACTTTTTAAGGCAATGGGTATGATACACAATGACGTGATATCATTGTCATCACGTGACAACTGGCCTCGATTTCAACTTTAGTTTTTTTTATTTGCAATGTATTTCACACAAACAACATTTAACTTGCATGTAATTTCTTTAAAAAAATGAACATTATACAAAATACAATGTCTGTTGGCTTTCCAGACATATTTAGGTCTAAAATACGCATGCACAGTTTGTTCAAAACCATATGCTTATCAATTTGTCAACAGACATTCAGACATTTTTGCATATCCAGCTAAGTTTGCCATCATTACAACTTCACATTTACATTACTTTGCAATAATTTAGTTTTGGTACATTTCATAGACTACTATAAACATCTTTATGCTACTTTTTTTCTTCACTATAGAATTTATTCTTTGTTTGTTTTTTTTTGTTTCTTTGTTTCAACCTGTAAAACCTGTCATACACTGAACGTTCATAGCTGTTTCATACTCTGTATCCTATTATAAATACCTTTACTTTATTGTTTACTTTACATGTAATTTTATTAAATAAAGTTATGTCTATGTGAATTTGTTTGTGTGACAGTGCAACATTTTTTCAAATAGATCAGGATTTATCGATCTAACACATAATGCCTGCAAGAAGTCATTTGCTTAAATGATGTGTGTGAAAATGATAGAATAAGGAAAATTCAGGCAAAGGGTATAAAAACTCTTAAGTGTTTTGTGGGTCTCAGCTAGTACTGTATTAAAATAATGAGATAGAAAGCATATGGTATTCTCATATATCACAGGAAAAAATAATATAATAAATAGAGTTACATTATTTTTTCATAATCTTTTTTTTTGTTGTTGCCTGCAGATGTTCATGAAAGACATGTTATTGACTTGGGTAGTATCTACTTTTTCTCTTTATAATGTATGTTATATTTTCTTTTCTTCCTCAACTATCTCCAAGTTGTCTTCAAAAACCTTTTTTTCTTTTTTAATGTCTCTTATTATTTCTTTAATTTTATGTCTTTCGTACAAATACAGTCAACTCAATAAGTTAGTAAAAAAAAACCCCAGAAATTAATGAAGAACATTTAATTATCTTTTAAGGTTTATTAAATCAAATGAAAAAAAAGCGTTTTGCATTTATACATATGTGTATATGCATTTTCATTTAATGTATTATCTTATCATTATATCTGGTGGTATTTAATAGTAGAAATCTGATGACACAAAATGGTAGCCATAAAACTCACCCATTTAAAACCGTAACTGTTATGGAGGGAATCAATATTTCACTATTTCAACGAGTTTTCGTCTAATTTCCAAATAAGTAAGGAAGTGAATTTTCCAGACAAGCGTACAGAAGAAATGGCAAAGCTTATCGCTATAATTCTTTCACAGAATTCTCCCATCTGAGGTCCCAGTGATTCCTTTCTTGTACTAAAAAAGGATACTCGTATATATATATATATATATATATATAATAAATGGACGATGTGCTACTTTGGTCATGTAATTACATTTGAGGAGTATGTTGGTAAAGATCCTAATGCGTAGTAAAATCGAATCAGGTATACCTGGCCCCATGCTTCGTATTGCTGGCACACAAAACTATAGCTAATAAAAAAAAAAACAAGTTGAATAACAAAAATTTTATAAAGACAAGTAGGATCGATATATACGTAACCTAGCTTATAGTAATATAGAAAGTTTTAATGTTACAAAAAATATTGAAACAAGAAAGTCAAACTACAAAAACTGAATTTGTTAAAATTTAAAATTATTTATCTCTACTTTGAGGCCCGGCATGGCCAAGTGGTTACGCCGGTCTACTCGCAATCCGAGGGTCGCGGGTTCGAATCCTCGTTACCCCAAACATGCCCGCCCTTTCAGCCGTGGGGGCGTTATTATGTGACGGTCAATTCCACTAATCGTTGGTAAAAGAGTAGCCCAAGAGTTGGCGGTGGGTGGTGATGACTAATTGCCTTCCCTCTAGTCTTACACTGCTAAATTAGGGATGGCTAGTGCAGATAGTCCTCGTGTAGCTTTGCGCGAAATTCAAAACAAACAAACAATCTCTACTTTGACAAATCCCTTTAATTATGTTAGTCTTTGTGTGTTTGTATATCTGTGTGTATGTCTATTTTAAAATAGTCTATTTTTTGTCATGCATTTGTTTTTATACATTCTTAAATATACATTTTGCAAAAGTATAAAAGAAAATGGATACAAAATGTTTATTTTGCTTATTTGTACATACCTATAATTTTAATTGATTTTTTCAAATGTAGGGCCTCAAGTTACCGAAGTATACTCAACAGTTTCTTCAAGGTGCACCTGTATATTCTCGTATTCTTTTCATGCCCAGTGGAGATTCATTATCACGATTTGGAGCTTTCCACTGTGAAGTCACTAGTGGTGGGGTGACAACCAAAATTACAACATTGAAATTACCCCCTGAACGTATTGGTGAGTAAAAATAACCCTGTTTGGCTTGATGGTTTGTAACAATACAAAAAATAATACATATACTCAAGTAAATAGAATGAATCATTTTTTATTACTAATACAATATATATTCTTGGTACAGCTATTCATCAGAAGAAACGTGTAAGAACATAATAAGTCATTTGGAAATTATCTGTATAATATAATAATTATTTAAGTTATCGATAAGTGTATGTAATCATATATAATTTGTATCTTTTAAATTGTTTGTTTACTTTGGTCATGCATAATAAATCATTGTGAAAATTAGTATATATGTTTGTCCAGTCTGGTGAATATTTAAGACATCATCATACTATGATTCAATATACAGTTTGTTTTATTTTTATTAACATCAGCTCATGTATCAAGTATCTTTGGTGAATATTGATTTAATTATTATAACATATATATATATTTTGATTAAAGTGATATACATGTATAGTTGAGTTAAAAGAAGAAAATTAATTTTAAAAATTATGTCAGATGTTTTTACTCTTTCTTCACTAAAGAGCTCAAATAAGAAATTTTTCAAATATATTTTTCAGACTCTACAGTATGCCAAGAACTTTTTACAGGTGCAATATTATATCCCTAAATTAAAATTTTTTTCAATAGATCAGTAAGTTCTGTAGGACAAGAAATAAAGCTAATTAAATGCCAAAATGTATATAGTTTTGGTTTTGCCAAGAACTTTTTACAGGTGCAATATTATATCCCTAAATTAACATTTTTTTCAATAGATCAGTAAGTTCTGTAGGACAAGAAATAAAGCTAATTAAATGCCAAAATGTATATAGTTTTGGTTTCGTAATTTGAAATATAATTAACATTTGTCATAAACGAATTTCGTAGCAAATGTTTAAACATTTTGTAAGGAATTATATGCTCAACAGCTGAATTTGAGCCAGAGGAGACATACATTGTAGTAAATCAAGGAGAAAAAGTGCATCTTATTATGAAAGAAATGAAACATCTCGATCTACCCATAAGATGGCGTTATAATGGTGGTGACATTATTGAAAAATGGAATGACCAACTGACGGTCACTATTCCAGCTGCCTCACTTGCTGATGCTGGAATTTATGAGTGCTATTATGAGGGTAGAAGAAATGAATTTGTTCATGGAATTTTACGACTTATTGTTCGAGGTAATTGTTTGTTTTATAAATGGTTTAATAATTCTACCATTTATCAAATCGAACTTTAAATTGAAATGTTGCTACTTAGGTTCAATTCATTAACTTAAGGTTAATGTGTTATACCTAATCCTTTTCTTTTACAGCTACATTTTTATGTGTACTAAAAGTGAGAACTTGAGAAATTTTAAATCAAATTCAGTTTTACAAACTTTAATCACAATTGACACCAGTTAAATGATATAATTCCACCAACATCTTCTAATCAATCCATTGTGCAAGAATATAATTCCTTTTTTTTTTTGACACAAGAGGTGTTAAAGATACTTGTACAAATGAGTATAAGTTAAAAGTTTTCTTCCCCATCCTAGTTGGAATAGTTGGTAATATATGTAGCTATGGCTTTTTCAGGTCAAACTGATTTCCCTTAGAGCAGTGAGCTAGATCCACAGAATAACAAGATATATTGTACAAGTTATTTATTACAAAGTAATTCTGAGTTCTCTGAATACCTGAATTCATAAGAATGAAATGAAAAGGTTGTGCATGATGCAAAATACAAACCTACAGTTTTTCATTATAGCACAAACACAATGTGCTTTAACCAATGAACTGTTGTTTGTAGTGGGTAGAAATTACTCCCTCCAACTGATCAGACTGATATCATATGTCAGTCTGTTTAAATTCAATGTTCCTTACCTTAGAGGTAATACCAGACTTATCCAGAGTGACTAGCACTACCACATGACTGTTCATTTTCATTTGAGTACAAGTAGGCTGTAATCTCAAGATACTGCATGATCTAAAATTGTAAGACACTGCTGTCTACATTCATTCCTTCATGGACAGAAGTGTGACCTTTATAGAATTACAAAGAGAAATGACAGCTTTAAGGAAATAAACTCCCTGAGTGATGTGCAGATCAAGTTCTTTTCTAATTTATTTTTAACGAAATACCCTTTCATCTTCAATAGGGATAAATGGTTGAAAATAATCACAACCAACAATAGTTCAAGTGATGTGCAGCCTAGTACAAGTAAAGGTATCGAAAATAAAAGTAAATTCAAGTGATGTGCAGCTTGGTAGTGATGATAAGAAAGCCAAAGATTCTTGGACCCGGAAGTATTTTGATGAGCATTTGAAGTTCGGTTTCACCAGTGCTGGTAGCATTCTGACATCCACATTTTGGGGGGATTTTATCAACACTACAACTTGTACATTTAGCTTCAGTTAGCTCCATCCCCAACGCATACAGTCAAATATGGAAGGATGAAAGTTAAGTGAAAAGTTGAAAGGAACCCTAAAAAGAGACCATGGTTCATGCAGCTACTACTGAAAAGATTGCAAATAGGCTAGACCCAAAAGGAGAAGTGCTCCCATAGAAACCACATCCCCCAATGTGTTAGAACCTTGCTAGCAGTAAGATAGTTAACCATAATAGCTTGGATAACAGAAAACTCCATCTAGTGCATTCGAGGAGTAGAATGAATGGTCCTGACAGAGGGGGGTGTTTAAAAATACCCTCCCCAAATAGACAAGAATGTGAGGTATGTAACAGGAAAAACTTATCCAAATGGAAAATCCAACCACCCGACTTGACAGTGGAAGAAACAAATGAATATATTATGAACACCATGATTTGGTTGAACATATCCCTCATGGCATTGGGTTTACCACTTCCTCCCTCCTTGTCTGCATTTGTTTCTCTTCTCTGATGCTCATCTCCAAAGGTGGGGGACATGGCTCAATCAATAGGAGGCTTCAGGACAATGGTCTATGGATGAAAAGTCTTGTCATGTTAACAACCTGGCACGTCTGGCAGCCCAACATGTTTTATTTCACTCTCTTCCTCTTGTCCAGTTGGACTAAGTATGTTTCATTCCGACTATTTGACAGTGGTGGCTTATACCACTCACCAAGGGTCACTCATTCTTGTTCCCTTTGTGGTAGACAGGGGATCTCCCTATTTGAATCCACACACTTGACATGTGTCTCCTGGAGTGTCGTTTTCCCAATGCTTTTGTCTTCATTACTGATCATTTTTCCAGTCCTAACACACTTTCCCCCAAGGAATGGCCTCTTGATCCTCAAATTTTAGGAGGCTCCACCTCCTGCAGGGTACTCCTCCACATCAAGCTTTGGACTCCTTTCTCTATTTTAGTTATCTTTTTTGCTTTTGATCTCCAGTTCATTATCCACTTGCCTTGGCTGTCGATACATTCAGATAGGATTGGATACAGTTTATAACTTTTGCTTTTCTAATTCCAACAGTCTTCTTCCCAAGATGATTTGTTCATCCAGGTCAGCTTTTTCTGGTTGACACTTCCTAGCCAGTACACAGATCTGGTTTTCTCGGCTGTTTTTGGCTCTATATGTTCTTTTTTGTTCAGGATCGATTTTACTAAACTACACTTTGGGGCTTATGTGGAATATTCATTTTGATTTTTTGTTTCTTGCCACCTTTCATTATAGCCTGTGCCTTGGGGATCCTTTTAATTTATGCTGCATCTTTAATTTAATTTAATTTTTTCTTTTGTTTGGACGTGTTTCATTCATTTAAATGTGATAAATATATAAATGTATTAATTAGATATAAAGAAGTAAAAATTAGGGAGTTTCTGCTGAAAGTTTCCGATAAATATTTTTTGTTTTAATAAGGTCATTTAAACAACTTGGCACTACTTTTATGTGGATGAACACCTTATCACGTATAAAGGCTTGTGTAAAATCTGAAAATTGGTAGTTACAGTGGACTTAATGGGTGGTGATTTGGGTTTATACTAGTTAGTTTAGATAACTTGGTTGATCTTTTATAACTCTATATTAGTATAATTTATCAACTGTACTACTAATAAAGTAAAATTAGTGCTTTACTATTATAATGGGGGCTGGAATGCAAACCTCAGGAGGTTGGTTTATCTTACTTATCCCCAAGTGGTAGTACCTTATTTCGTTTTTCTTTTCTTTTACTTTAGAGAGCATTCACCTTCCCACAACTGTCTGCAGGCAGTGAAGGGTGATATAGATATGTGACGTTGTGGGCTTAAGCACCCACATATTGCTCTCTTAACTTATATTTTTGAATGGATTTATTTGATATTTTATGAATTTCTTCATATGAAACTGGCGAATGGAGGTTAAAACTGATAGATGGTGTATCCTCATCGCAATTTGGGTCCTACTTTTACAGCACCTCAAAAACTCAGGGCACATTTTATGCCCCACATTATAGCCTGTGCCCTGGGGATCCTTTTAATTTATGCAGTGTCTTTAATTTGATTTTGTTTTTTGTTTAGGCTTATTTTGTTCATTTTTATATATTTACACTAAAGGAAAGAACAAAAATTAAATAACAAAATGTAACAATGATCCATTTGTCTCACAACCTACAGCTCTTCATTCTTAATTATGTTGTCTTATAAAAACTTTCCTGATTGCTACCATCTTCCTGGTTTAAAAAAGTCAAACTTGGTAAACCACACCACTTCCAACAACTTTTGCATCAGTGCAGGACACATTCTGTGGTCTGTCAGGTCCCTAGCCTAGATTTGCCAAAACTGTAAACACTTTTCTTCCACATCTTGATCTTCCCTGACTTATTGCAATATTAGACGAAACTACCATATTGGAGGTAGAATATCCTCCTTTACAGTCTTAATTCAGCTGCTCTAAGTTCAAAAGACCTGTAAATTTGATTGGTACTTCAGTGGGTAGGCTGTAATCTCAAGATAGCACTTAATCAAAACTTGTAATACACTGCACTTTTAAAATATTCCAATCTGCATTATTGAGAACAAAGGATAAGCACTACAACAAGATATAAAATACATGGTATATTCATAATCACTTTCCTGTGTTCCCTAGTTCAGGCTCATGTTTGCTTCCAGAAACAATCCCCACACAGGCCTCACAACTGTTGAACAAAGAAATCAGTATCCTAGTCGCATTGAACTACCCTTGAACAAAGAACAAATACAAAACTACAAAAATATCCTTAAACAAATAAAATACATAAATTAAAATAAACCTTTTAACATAGATGCAAGCACATACTGCTTATATAAAATTTTCAGTAATGAAACCACAATTTAAATACTTTTAGAATGATTCCCACAAAGCTACACAATGGGCTATCTGTGCTCTGTCCACCACGGGTATCGAAACTTGGTTTCTAGCGTTGTAAGTCTGCAGACATACTGCTGTGTCACTGGGGGGCCCCTTCAAGAGGGTATAGCCTAACTCTTAACACATTATGCAGAAACAAATTCAAATGTCAGTGCATAATACATCATATACAAGTCTTTTAACAATGATTAACATCAAACACAACTGTAGTATCACAAGCACAAAAATGCATATTAAAATATTTCATCACAAAAAAGAAAATATACAACCACATTAAATAAAATCCCTTTACAAAATATAGCATATAAGTGTACTAAGAGCTCTTAACCCTACTCTTTGTGCACCGGTGAGAGTCAAATTGTGCATGCTACAACCTTTATCAGAGAACCATTCAACATGGTATTTATGTATTTGATGTCAGAGTTATCAACTGTTCATTATTCTCTGCATTTCTGATTTAGTGACAGTTCCTGATAGAGAAGAATAAATATCAGATACACTGTACAGGGATACCGAATAATCAGTAGATATGCATTTTAGATATTGCATGATGGACAAAAGTATTTTTACTTTTCACATCAGTATCATCTTGAACTCCAAATTGTTATAGTCTGAATCAGGCTGATGTTGTCAATTCACTGACATATCTTGAGTACAGATATGTTTGTAACACACTTGAATTTTTGTATACAACAGACTTCTACATTTTATTAAAAGCTTTTCACATTTCAGATACACTTTGTAAATTCAGAGTTATAACCAACATTTCTTTTTCAGTATGGGGTTGGTCTAATGGACATTTTGTTAATAAAATGAAACATTAAATGACCAGGAAACACTAAATAAAACATAAGTGACAAACCCTTACAAACTATTTGAACATACACATATGCCCTCTGTCGCCATTCCCATGACAACTAACAACACATTTTAAAACTGGATACTACACATGTATCCTGACTCAGATTAAGCAATGCTACCCCTTACTTTTGACCATGAGAACCCACAAAAACTTTCATTGTTTTCCTTGAGATTTTTGTGCTAATAAGTTTAGGACTAGCTAAGACTTTCTGCCTCCCCATTTGTACACTTACAGCCTGAATTTTCTAACACCTTGTATTGAAATAATGACAAGAAAATGTTCAGGAAACTGTGTGCTTTTTTAAATATTTCAATCTGCATGATTGAAAATATCTGTATCACAAGAAAACAAAACACTTGTACACCAAGTTTATGTTTATTATGAATTTAACCATTTCACTGAAGCTTGGATGCATATTTCCCAGTGCACTGAAAAATATACGTCTCGGCTAAAGTAAATGGGTTAAACTACTGTTTGTAAATTTCCTTTACTTTTGATAATTTCACCTACATTTTGATTCAAAACAGTTAAAATATCTTGCACTACTCTTACTGGAAAACAATAAGTGTTTTCTCTTAAACATTGTGTGAGTCTCTCAGTTATTCTTATCCTTCCGTGAATATTCACTGCTTGCCAAATATTTAAATGTCTCATGGGCATTAATGAAAATGACAGGTACATTGTATTATTAATTACCTTACAGGTCAATAATCACAAACAAAATCCTATAACTCCATATTTTTGTCTTTAATTGAGTTTTTGAACCGATGTATTCTCCTAACATCATGAATTGGTTAACTTCATATTATGCTTAGGAGTAAATTATCCAGTTTTCTGCCCTACGATCACCATGAAACTATCAGGAGTTGGGAGTGTACACCAGATGGATTCAAAAACTCTGTACTTTATTCATTTATTAATTTTAAGAGTTTGACAGTGGTTTCACTTTTCTTCTTCTGCTACTGCCTTATTCCCAATGTTTTGTTGTACCATGAGCACTTTCAGGAATCTTTTTGTTTTTGTCTAGCACAGATCTCCAACTTGTGTACCTAGAAATATCTGTTATATGAAAATAATTACACTAATATGAAGAAGCTGGTCAATAGAAAATTGTATTCCAGTATTGAGTAGATTTGCCATGAAACCAACAAAATAAACATCATATGTAATACAGACAGGAACATTTTGTACTTACTAGTACATTGCAAGAGCTGTAGGTAAGAACTTTTTGAAGCTGTTATTGTTCGTGCTATACTAATCTACCATATCTGGAGAATTTTTTAACTTTGCTAACATCATACAAATTAAATATAAGCATTGATTTACTATGTGGTGTTATCACCATTCTACAAAAAAACATATTGTTACGTCTCTGTTCGTTAGTTAATTTTTTGTAAATTCGTTCCAACGACACAAGTCCTTTCTTAAATAAAACTGGTTTATTCTTTCCAAATACAACTTTATCGATACACTTAATTTCAACAGTCGCTCTATAACAACGCTATAATTCTCAAAGAACGTCTCACGTGCTCGACAATACTCAGTTCAATTACACACTCTCTGACTGCAGTTCAATTATGCATTACCTCGTCAAGTTGTGACCATCTTATATATACCAGACTACCCCCAATCTAGTAGTCTCCCGATAATTCACGAAGGTTCGAGAAGGACGTGGCGTGATAC